ACCTTAGACTCTGACAGCCCCCAAGGTACCCCCAAACTGTTGTGGCCTCTCCCCAGTTCCCAGAATTCCACCCCTGGACCCCCGCTGCTCCCCACTCCTGGGATGACTGGACCTGCCTTGGCGACTCTCCCTCCTCCTGTCACCATCCAACCCCACACTGTAGCCCCAAGACCCCTGTGGCTGTTTCCCGAGTCTCCCGCCCAGAATTGGCTCTAAACACATCAAGCCATTACACCTCTCTCTCTCCACCTCTAGCCTACCCCTCTGCTTCGGGATCTCCCATATTTCTAGGGCCCTCATCATTGGTCCTGCTTCCTATGGCGCCTTCTTTCCTCGCCTTGTGGCTCCACCCACAATACCCCAGAACTCATCCTCCTCAAAACCATTTCCTGGAGCCTGCAGCTTCCGGCTTCCCTACCGCCCTGACAGCGCCTCTCCTCAGCAGCTCCCCCTCGGACCCTCCACACTCCCGGCTGCCCCACTTTGCCCAGCCCCCTAGCCCTGCTTCCCCCATCGTGCAGGTGCCAGGACAGGCTGTGCCTCTTCTTGGTTTGAACTGTGCCCCTGGTCTCTCCTCAGTGCCCCCTGTGGGTTACGGTTCAGGCAGAACCCACCGGGAAGTGGCCGTATCGTCGGAGGGCAGGATGCAACCATCGGGGCCTGGCCCTGGATGGTCAGCCTCCAGGTCTTCACGTCCCACAATAACCGAAGGTACCATGCGTGCGGAGGCACCTTGCTGAACTCCCATTGGCTGCTTACTGCTGCCCACTGCTTCGTCTCCAAAAAGTACGTGTGGGAGCGCGTGGAGGGAGGTCTTCAGAAAGGCTCTTCCCAGAAAGGGACATTCTCCAGGGCTCTCTGTGCGCAGTCTCCCCGGGGCTCTGGGCCTTGTGGCAACCAGACCGTGAGTGGGTGGGCCCAGGCCCTCGCTGGGGGAGGGCTCTGAGGGTCATGGTCACCAGAGGTTTCTGTCGAGCCCGTCCTTTCTGAGGATGACCTGGCTTGCCTCTGTGCCCACAGAAAAGTATATGACTGGAGACTGATTTTTGGAGCAAGGGAAATTGTGTATGGGAATGATAAGCCAGCGAAGCCGCCTCAACAGGAGAGCTATGTCGAGAAAATCATCATTCATGAGGAATACATCCCCAGTTTAGAGCACAATGACATCGCTCTCATGAAGATCACCCCTCCCGTTCCCTGTGGGCAATTCATTGGTATGGGCTGCCTGCCCCAATTTAGGGCGGACCCACCTAGATTTCCCCCGGCCTGCTGGGTGATTGGCTGGGGATTCTTGAAAGAGAAAGGTTCGTACGGCAGGGGCTCTCACAGGGGTAGGGGCACTGCTGGTCATT